TCTTCCTGAGAAGTGTGCTTTTCCAACCAAACAACAAACAAAACACACTACAAAATAGGTCAGCATGGCAACACATACACTTGAGTATTCTGAGAAGTTTCCAGAAGAGGACACAGCTCAGCTGCTCTGGTAAGGGAAAGAGCTGTTAGACTGTGAGGGGACAGAGGGGACAGGAAACCACCACCCACCATTTCGGAAAAGATGAGGTGAGGTCAGCCACAGGGTCAGAGCTGGAGGTGAGGTCACAGACCTGTTCTAGTGTCAGCACACAGCTCAGACAAAAATCAGCCCAAAACCTGCCAGCTGCAACTCAAAGCTCAGAAAACAGTGCTCTAAGCTAGAGACATAATGTGACAACTATAAGAATTAATTCAATTTATTCAGCAAATATTTATCCAAAGACGACTCTACTAGGTACTATCCTGGAGACAAGCTGTGTATTTAAGAAATAAATCAATATACAATGCAAATAAGAAGTAGCATATACTTCTCTACACATCTTTTCCCATTAATTCGAAGAGGAAGAACAGGTATATTTAATATTAACTATCTTGCTAGACCACTACAATTTATAGCGTATCTTTTTTTCTATAAATTATAGTTTGCCCCCTCTATACTCCTCCTACAGAGACATTAAAATAAATCTGAATTCTGCGGTCCTTCCCAAGTATTTGTAAGGCATAGAGTCAGGATTAGCTTTCATAGGCCGGGGATTTAGCTCAGTGGTTCCGGGGCCTGCCTCCAAAGTGCAAGGTCCAGAGTTCGATCCCTGGTACCAAAAACAAAACAAAACAAAAAAAACAAGATTAGCTTTCATCACACAAACTACAGACCCCTGACATTTATGTCTACAATTCTTTTCTAAATGAAGAAATTTAGAAGGAAATCAAGGAAATACCAATTTACCTCATCTTAAAATTGTTAGTTTTCCATTGGCTTATCTCAAGTTTATCTGAATATGTTACAGATGAAAATTGGTTAAGTGCATACAGAGTAATTCTTGAATAATTTGAGTGATTTGGTTCCATAGTGCTATACATTCATAATATAAACGATTTTAGGAATCTATTACCTAATTTCACCTATAATTTTGTTTTTAGTTAAAATGCAAAAAGTGAAGAGAGAAAACATTATTTCTTAAAGAATGCTTGAGGGAAAAAAAGGAGAAAAAAAAGAATGCTTGAGAAGCACTTTGTAAATGTTCCTCGAGACACTGAACAGTCATTGATAAGTTTTTAGTCAACGCTATAAAGAACATCTTCAAAATTAAGAAAACAAATTCAGCAGTCAAATAATAACACTTTTTCTTCAGGTTTCTACTATTTGTAAATAAACAAGAAAAAAATGACTTTAAGGTCGTATTTGCAGTGAGACCCTATGAATCTTTAAGGAGACATAATTAAGAATACAGAGCACATGACAGTCTAAATTTACCATTCCATTCTGCAGCACGTGGCCAAGTTCTAGAAAGGGGTCCTCCCTTACACTAGTTTACCTGTCTGGTCCTTAAGCCCAACAGCTTTCTTATATTTTGACATTTTTTTGTTTTGTGTGCTCTCATCCAAGGTACCATCAAAACAAACTGTCCTTAGAATTTAGCCCTCCTTTATAGCACTATTGTGATTGTTTTCAAAGTACATGAAAGCCCTTACTAAACAGTAAATGATGATATAAGCCTTACTGCAAAAAACATGATTCTTAGCAAATGGCAGCAAAAGAACTATGAATAAATTGTTGAGTTAAAAATGCAAAGCTTGCATGCCCCAACCTAAGTAAAAAAGTCACAAAGGTTTCTTTTTTTTCAAACAAAAGACTGGTTAGAGATGAATTAATGCAGAGAATTCTATTCAAATTGGTTTAGACCACATATGAATATTTAAAAATTGCAACATTAACATTATTCATCAAGATACCACAGGCAGAATAGATTACTCACAGTAAGTGGGTCTGTAACTAACCTCTATAAATTTCTTGATCATTATTATCTCCACTATTTGGCACCAGTTGGCATCAGATTTTTCATATACCGTGTGCTTGTCCTTATTATTTACTGTGTATCTTCTCCCCCACTGGACTCTAGAGTTCCAGAGGAGCAAAAATCTTATCTTGTCTCACTATACGGCCAGTGTCTGGCACCCAGGAGAAGGTCAACATAAATTTGGTGATTAGTCCAGCTTTCCACCTGGACTTCCCTTCCTGCGAATACAACACCACCATGGGTTAAGGCCAGGGTCAAATACTATTATCTCTAAAGATTACTTCCTTGAACCTTCCAATCTTTCTCCTTTATACCAGGAATTTGCCACTTACCAGCTGTCTGATCATTGTTTATCTTTGCCTATACACAAATCTCATTTAAAATTCTTGTAATCTTCCTCTCCTTAAGGGCACAGACTTACATTCCCAACTTTTTGTATTCATGTAAATAATATACCTTTAATAAATGGTTTAATTTATACCTGTAAACAGACATCTAGTTAAAGTTAGTAATCTCAACTTTTTATAACTTATCCCTCCCTTCTGAATAACTCCAAATCGGTCATGAAATTGAAATGGATCCCCCTCTATTTTGAATTTATCTCTAGAAATTTCAAGTTCATATTCTCATATTGTATAAATTGTAACTTATGATCATAGTTTATCCATCCCCCTCCACCAAGATTAATTTATGTAGTAAAAATCTTGACTTTTTTATAACACCTATAGTGAAATTTTAGCCCCAATGTAGAAGAGAGTGAAGTTTCCCTACTACTCCCTTCTTGTTGCTGCTATATCAAAGGGTATTCTTCCACTTCTGCTCTTTCCTGTCACATCAAGATGTATTCCATTTCCTTCTTCACTGGTCATACCCCGGCAAGCTTTTATTATTTCTTTGTACTTGTTCTCAGTAATCTGCTTTCAATCCTTCTTTCTGAACCACTCTTGTTTCCTCCATTTATTTGATTAAATTTCTAACTATCTCAATCGATCTGTGTGAGACTGGCTTGTTCTGCAAGTCTAAGTTCTTTAAGTTCACCCATTTTATGACCCTTCCTTCACACTGCCAACCCCTCATCATTCTAGGCTAAGGAAATGTATAAAACAACAGATTATCCACAACACAAAATCAGGAGCAAAAATGACATCTAGCTTTTGAATATGTAATATGTAGCATTGGGCAAGATTTGGTTTATTTATGTTTTTGCTTAAGCCAACATTACTAAGACTTTATTTTGTGACAGTGGATCTCTGTTTTTAAATTTGATTCACTTATTCCTTCAAAGGCCAGTCAAGCATCAACTAGCTTTTTCTATGAAGTCTTTTTAACTTGTTCAATCTCTTGAAATGTCATAAAATGTTTTCTGTTCCTCTTTTTCTTAGGATTCAGATCCAAATGAGTTTAATATTAATTTATTTCTTTAAGCTAAAGTACTTTTTGCTTGAGAACTCAAAGCATTTTAAAAACATTAAAAGGCCAGTAAAATTTTTAGTCCAGGTAATATAGAACAGAATGCTCTGTTTTAGTAAGATACTCCGGGAAACCTGGGAGTTCTAGGATAAATGACACTGATAACTTTAGCAAATTATATTTAGTAGGATTTTATAATTTGCTGAAAAGGAACAACTTTACCGAACAGCTATATAAATCTGCTTCACCAATATATTAATCCCACATGCTGAAAATTCTATGAATTTCCTCAATAAAGGCACTTAAAATAGCATCAAAATAAACTCACATCAGTCCTGTCTCTCCCAACTCCAGCTCTAACTCTTCTTCAAACTATAGTACTGCACTTTTTCTGGAGGTGGGGAGAGCTGGGGGCTGAACCCAGGGCCTGCCTACATCTCCAACCCAGACCTACCTTAAACCCTCATCTCTCCCCTCACTTCGAACCATGCAAATAACTAACTTGAATGTGCGTGTGGGGGGAGAATTGGCTTAACAGGATCTTCCCTTTTGCTCCCTTCTCAGTTACTGCCATTAACATTTTGACCAACACCCCCCCCCACACACCAGAATCCTCAATTTCACATTGACCATTTTTATTTTACAGGTACTCAATTACATTTAATAAGCTGAAGGAAAGGACAGGAACCTTCTAACCTGAGGAGTGGCAAAAGTCGATGATTCTGCAGTAGTGTTCCTCACCCTCCCCCATAATTATGCACTGAAACACTCAAGTAAAATAAGTACAATTTAAGCCAAATTAGATATTTTACTTTTGAGGTGCTGACATACTAGAAGTTAAAACTAAAAAATTTTTAAATATCATTGCCAGTTTACATATTTTTTTAAAACACCTAAATGTTGGTGTACAGTGCATGAACTAAATCCATAATTCAAAATAAACACATTTCTAATTTTCTTCACACATGTGGAACTTTGATAAGTACAAATTATTTTATCTGAAACCCAATTTGAACAGGTGTTATTTTGTCCAAATCTTTACATAAGATGCCAAGAGTTGAGCCCCGCAAATTTTTTTTCAATAGCAACCTTCCCACAATGTGTTTGAACTCAGTAAATTCTGTAACTTTCTTTTAAAAACAATGACAAAATCTTTCACAGTACCTTGTCACATTTTGACTAAAATACTCACACAAAGCCACAAATTCTTACTTTTTCAATTTACTGCTCCAGGCTGCTGCCTTCACCAACCACAACTGCCGGTGCCTTAATTTAGCATTGCCTCCCAAACTGTGTCCACCAAGGAAAAGTAAATAATTAAAAAGTAATTAACTCCATCGGTATGCATTCTTTTCTTTTAAAAATCTGCCTAAACTTTAAGCAATCTCTTTTCTTGATGGAGTTGAAACAGCAAAACAACTCAGGAAACAGTTGTCGCCTACAGGTACTATCAATCAGCCCAGAGAGTGGGGAAAAAGGAGGCATTTTTCTGACAGTCTCAGTTCCCCAAATGGTAGTCAGAGCCCTCTCATGAGTGGTAAATTTCACACTCATGTATTCCACACACACACACACACACACACACGCAAAGACAGACAAGAAAGAAACATACCTGGTCATTTTCTAAACAGGTTTGATAGGTTTGGTTCACTTGTAAGAGCTCAGTATTTACTTATAATCTCTTAAAGCAAAGTGGCAGCCAGAGCGCTGGGTAAATAAAAACTTCAGAGGTTTTTAAACCCTGCATCTTAACTCACTTCCCCTTCGTTCAAGGGGACGGCACAGCAAATCCCAGAGCGAATGAGATTATGCAACAGGTTCTTCCTCTCCACCTTATTCATCACAGGCTGGCTAGAGGTGTGCTTTCTCCACAATCGAGACACCCGGGACTTCAACGCGCCAAGGGTCTCTGCAGCAGGCGTTTAGCAAACGTCTTCGCGATTGTGCAGTATCCATTCATTGCAAGATCTACTTTATATTTTCTCACCTTCATTACCAGTTGTCTTTAGGAAGTTAAACCCAGCATTACAAAACTTAGGTTTTGGGTAGACACATGTTCTTCTGCGATATTTTATGTCATGAAATGACACACGGTACACAGACCCTCCGTTGTCTCCCTGGATTTTATTTCTCACGTTTCTCGGGCAGTGGAAAGAATCCCTGGCGCGCCGGACCCCAACACCACGACCCAGGGTGAAAGTTAAGACTTTATTTTGGGGGAAAGGGGTAGTTTTGCAAAGGCAGCACGGTCACCACCCAGGTGGCCCCGCCGCCTGCACCAAAGGCGACTCCGGGATAATGGGAACAGTCAGGCCGGGGCCCCGCTTGGCAGGCGTGTTGTGTAACAGCCGCGCCTGGAAGTGAGCAGCTTCGCCCGCGAAGGTGCCAAGTCCCGGGCCGGCCGAGCCCGCTGCCCTCCTCGGCTCCGCTCGGCCCAGGCGCTCGGACCGCGACCCGCGCCCGGCCCCCAGCCCCCAGCGAGGCCTACACCCCGGCGGGCTGCCCGCCGCTCCCGGACTGCGGGGGGGCGCCCCGACACCCCGCCCGCGCGCCACTTACTTCTGGGGCCGCCGAGCCCGGCTCCTCGGGGGGACGCGGACGTTTCGCGGCGTCGCCCGACGGCGGCTCCCCGCGGCCCCTGGCGGAGCCGGGAGGGCGACTGCGCTCTCGCCCAGCGCCCGTCCCGTCCAGTCCCGTCGCTCCCCCGCCGTCGTCTTTCCACGGGATGACCCGGTCCTGTCGGAGGGTGGGCGAGGGTGGGCGAGGGTGGGCGAGGGTGGGCGGCTCGGGAGGAGAGGGGCCGCTCGCGACTTTCCCTCACTCTTTTTCCTCCACCACCGCCGGCCCCAGCCGACCTTCCAAAAGAAAGAAGTCCGAGTGAGTGAGAAACTCGGGAGGTGGAGGCGAGGGGAGGGCGCGCGGGGGCGGCGGGCCGAGGAGAAGCGGTAAAAATTGATGGAGGCCCCACGCGGGACCCACGGGCGCGGGGGCGGGGTGGGGGCTGGGAGAGAAAGAGTCGCTGGTCAGGAAACTTCAAGCGCGGATGAGGTCATTGGTTTAAAAATAAAGAGATGGCGTCACTTGAAACCAATCCCAGTGAATGAACTCAGCGGAGCCCCGGGGAAAGGAGGAGACAGGCGAGGGCAGGGCGGGGGGCGCCGGGCGGGGCCGCGCGACCATCCCGCCCCTCGCGCCCCGGCCCGGTCCGACTCGGTCCGACTCGGTCCGCAGAGCGCTCGCCGCTCGGGGAGGCCGCTCGGGGAGGCTCGGGCCGCGTTCCCTTCCCTTCCCGAGCCAGGCGACTCGGAGGCAGGTTCCGCGGGCGCCGCGGGGAGGGGCCGCCCTAGGCGGAGGCGGCCCGCGGCCTCCAGCTCCTCCCGCGCCCGCCGCTCCGGGCTCGCGGCCCCTAGCCAGGCCGGGTCCTGCCGCGCTTCGCCCCACTGGTAGTGCGGGTCCCACCCACCCGGACCGCAGCCTTCGCCCAAAGCCGTAGGTGGTTTTCGTCTGCCTCGCCAGCGTGAGGACACGCAAACTGGGATTTGAGAAGATTGCGATCATCCTTTTAAAAAATAAAAGTCTTTGGAACCCCAGGCGTAGGGTTCTGCTGACTTAGGAGAAGTTACAGGTACTTTAAGAAAAATCGCACTGGTGTTGGCAGGCATTCGGCCGACTTTGTCGTTGAAATCCCCCCTCACCCGGCTCACGAGTGTTCCTAAGTTATTTTACTTTGCTTGTACAGTACTTACAAATAAAATGAGTATAAGCAGCCTAGAATTCTCCTTAAAATATTTGCTACACCAGGCAGCCCAGAATCATCTTTAAATCACACCGGGGACACATTGCCTCTTGAGAGGTGCAAGACCTTTTTTGATTTAACGACACATACCGCGTGCATTTGCTTATTTGAGTTCATTAAAATAGCTTTGTTTTGAGACGGCATTACACACTTTGGGAAACTAGAGACCTGAGGTGGTGACAAACCAGGACTTGGAATCTCTGACTTAGGACAATCGGAGCTTTATTCCAGCGTTCTTTGAGCATTTGAGCATGAAGCAGCTTCTGAGGACTCACGTGGATATCACATAACAAAGATGTGATTAATGACAAAAAAGCACACTGTGAGAGGACTGCTCCTTGAGCCAGAATTTGTGTGTAGGAAATAATCTAGCCCTTAAAACATTCCCTTAGCACTGTACCAGAGTAGGGTCACTGCCCCCCACCCCCACCCCCGGCACTGTTTGTTGTCGGGTATCTATGTGGACATTGCCTAAGGGACTTTTTTAATTGGCAGAGTACTCTGAAGTGGGTTTGGGTTGGTTAGAAGATAATACATCTCTGTTAATACTTTTCTGCCTTTAAATCCTGCAGCTGAAGCGCATTCATTGTGATTGGTAATCATTTAAGGTTAGCGTGATGGCGAAAGCCTGTGGGTATTTTCAGCTCATCCTCCAGAGCAGGAAAAGGAGCCCACTGGAGGTAGAAGACAGCTGAGACTTCACCCTGTACCGGAAGCCTGAAGGCTCCAGACGGAGCCCCAACTTTTCAGCCTGTGCCTGTGACCTCTTGCAGACTTCTGCTCCGCTGCCTGGTCCCTGTCCTCTGGTGGCCGGGAGATGTTACTGCAACTTCACTGGGATTACTGGAGCTCTAACCACAGACCTGCAGTTTTTAGAACAAGTTTGGAGGTAGGAATTGGAAAGGAACTGCATCTCAAATCTGCTTAGTTGGAGGTATTGGGATTTTAAGGAAGGAAGAGTCAGAGTCCTACTAAGGATGGACAACACAGATATGCCTGAATAAAAGACTCAGGAGAGGGCCGGGGATTTAGCTCAGCGGCATAGCGCCTACCTGGCCGGCACGAGGTCCTGAGTTCGATCCTCGGTACCAAACAAACAAAAACTGCTTTCCCCTTTTCATCATTTATAATTAAGTTGGAGTGTCTTCCCATGTATGTGGTGCTTTGAGAGCATTAGGAGTCTCTTCACTCCGGCTCATTTTAGGCAGATCATCAAGGCAGACTAAAGCTAATTAAAAACTAAATTAATGGTTGAGTGGCATACAATATGAGTTGAGTCCAGAGAAAAAGCAATGTGGAAGGGTTGTTTGTTTCGAAGTACTCAGGATTGAACCCAGGAGTGCTCTATCACTGAGCTATATTATCCCCAGGCCTTTTTTTTTTTTTTTTAAGTTAGAGTAACACTAAATTGCCCAGGCTAGCTTTGAACTTTGGATCCTCCTGCCTCAGCCTCCTAAGTAGATGGGATTACAGGCATGTGCCACTGTGCCTGACATAGGCGGAATGGGGGTGGGTACCGGGAATCGAACTCAGGACCTTGCGCTTTTGAGGCAGATGGCAGAACAACTGAGCTAAATCCCCGGCCCTAGGAGGAATTTTTAAAAGAAGGCATCTTATAAACAGCTTTGACCTGCTCCTTGAAGGATAATTAAGATTTAGTTTGTGGCAAAGGAGTCAGTAAAAGGACTCTTCTAAAGAGGAAATGGCATGACCAAAGACTTAGAGGTGGAATGAATAAGGTGTATTCAGGTGAGAGATGATCAGATCCAGTAGTACTTGCAGTTGGTGTTTAGCAATTAGGTATGAGGTCCAATTAAAGAGATTCAGAGGCACATTATGGAGATCTTTGAATATTGGGATAAATACTAGTCCAGGTGGTTAAGGGGAAACAATTCAACAAGTATACTGAAGGGTACACTTCTGTTTGTTCTGTTAAAAAAGCTTCTATGTATGCTGATAACAAACATGCAGAAACAGCAATTTAAAAAAATGTATAATTGCTCCAAAGAATATGAAATATGTAAGTAAAAATTAACAAAACATGTAGGGTATCTGTGTGCCCCAAATTATAAAATGCTGATGAAGGGACTTAATGAAGACCTAAATAATTGAAGTGATATTAATCCACAGGTTGGAAGAGCCAACATAGTAAAGATGTCGGTTCTTCCCAAACCTATTGATTTAATGACATTCCTAACAAAATTCCAGAAAGAGTTTTCCAGAGACAGAGAAGTTTAAGCTAAAACGATGTCCAGCACATGTACAGAGATGGATGCATGGGAGAGTCCCCAAAGGCAGACAAAGAGCTCATATACTTAGGGTACCAGCAAAACAGGGGCTCGGAAATGTTATAATCAGATCCATAGAAAGGTGTTTTCCCTTAGTACATGCAAGTGTCTGGTATAATATTGATTTCAGTTAGTTAAATATGAAGAGGAGCACCAAAGTTTTAACTTAGAAATAAATATGGAGGTACTTAGATTTTCTTAAAATCTTAATCCACCCCAGCTGAAGTTCATTCATTCAACAGTGATTGAATGCCTCCTGCATATCAGTGTGTGCCAGGTACACACCTAAGCCCTGGAAATATGGTTATAAATAAGACAGACAAGGCCTTTTCCTTCATGGGACTTACATTCTGGCTGGGAAAGAAGAGTTACAAGTAAGATACTAGGTTAGGGGTTTTTTTATTGTTTATTCAGTTGTTTTGCAGTACTGGGAATTGAACCCAGGGCCTGGCACATGCTAGATAAGAATGCTATGATTGAGCTATACCTCCAGCCCACTTTCATTTTTTATTGTGAGACAGAGTCTCCCAAAGTTACCCAGGCTAGCCTCAAACTTGCAGTCCTCCTGCCTCAGCATCCTGACTAGCTGGGATTACAGGCACCATGCCTAGCATTATAGGTTAATTTTTATTTATTTATTATTATTTCATTTTTGGTACTGGGGATCAAACTCTGGATTACACTTGCAAGGCAGGCGGTGGAACCACTGAGCTAAATCCCAGGCCCTAGGTTAATTTTTAAAGAGAGTTTTAGTAATACTCTATAAGTGTTTCTTATTTTACTTGGCAGCTCTGTTTTCCAGTAAGAAGAGAGCATTTTTTTTTTATAATTTCATCAATCTCCAGGGATCCTTTTAATGTCCCAAGACAAATGCTGTTAGCTTAGGACTCATGGATTTTTAGAGACTACCTGAATGGGCTTCCTAGGGTCCAGGAGGCCCTTGAAATTTTATGCATATATGTTTATATGTGTTTTTCTGTGAAAGGATCCCTAGCTTTCAACAGACATTCTAAGGGATTTGTCACACACACACACCCAATAAGTAAGATTTCATGTTGAGGTGTTGGCTGTACTTTTTGGATAGTAGTTACTGCTGTTGCCTTAGGGTTCATGGCACTGTACAAAGAAATTAAATGCTCTGGAAGGAAGCACGTTCTCTCTCGAAGAGACAGTACATTGTTTGAGGAGGTCAGTATTTACAGCAGAGTAGAAGGGAATGCTATATTCTACAACTAGAACTACTTAGAAAAGTTTTTTGCTTGTATAATGTGAAAATTAGAAGAGAAACATTACTTGGTATCAAATCACTCACTGTACACGGAAGAAAGTGAAAGGTTAGGTGGCTCACCCAAGACTGCACAGCTAGTTAGTA